GTCTTGAGGAAACTGCTTTCTTTCATTAGGTAGCGTGGAGTAAGGGTAGCATCCAGTCTTACATCTGATACTTGTTGCCAAAAGCTGTCAGGAAAGAAGCTTGACTTTCTTCCTCACGTGTCCTTTGTGTCTTTTCTGCAGTCCAGGAGGGATCATCCCTTAACGCAAATTGCCAGAACTTCTAATAACAGTGATAGATAGGCCCATGCCCCTCTCTGCTAGATGATACGTGGTGCCTGTCTGTGCCCTGCTGGTCGAGTCATCTGATTTCCATCTCTCTTACTGGTTGATTCTTTGATGATGACAAAGTACAACTTTTATTTTTAATTATCTCCTCTTTGACCCTCATATCATTTAATAATATTCCTAACCTTAATTTATATTCTGTGAATAACATTTTGTGATAAACTGTACCAGCTGCTTAAAGACTATCTGGCACTTGATACCATGTTGTCATCTCTTTTAGCAATTTACTGTGTAGAGTTCAATATTCATTGATTAAACTGAGCCAAACAACAAATCGGCCTTTTGACCCCAGCTCTGTTCAGATCAGAGCTGCCTGTGATCATTATGTCCTTGCACAGCTGAACTGCAAGTCCCCTKGTGTTTTCCCCTTGCCCGCAGGTGTTAATCCCGTTTGGTTCTGAGGCACCCGTGCCAGGTTGTAGTTCAGAGCGACCATTCCGCACCCTCGCTGCAGCTCTTTGGTTCTTGCCACTGCCCTCCAGTTCAGCCTGTAAGGGAGCAACCACAGTGCCTGAAGAACTTGAAGTTTTATTTTGCCTTTTCCCATTTCCRTGGCTTTAAGCAGTATAATTTTGTAACTTTGGGGTGGAGATAAGGGCACGTCTTACTCTTTTGATACTCCTTTTGGTATTGTGTTATGAAATTGTTCTCTGAGGGAGCCRCTCCAAAACTGTACTCCAAAATGTCTCCAAAATACATTGTTGGATAGGGTTCATCTATCAGTGCTGCTTCACATGTTTGTTTTTCAGGATAGAGTTTGTTTTTCTGGAACTGATCCTGAAGATCTTCCTACCTTTCCACCAGACTGAGTTTTTCAAATAATTCCCACTTATACCATTCACATCAAATGGCAGGAGGTTTTGATATCTCTTTTCATTAGAATACTTTTATAATTGCACCATTGTAGCCTTGTTTGGTGATGTGGTTTTAGAAGGGTTTCCTGTTTTGACAGCTTGCTTGAGAGAGCTTGGAATTACTGATTTCTCTTGTGCAGAATAACTTGAAGAAAAGCTTTACTGAGTGCGGAGGGTTTTGAAATGCTGTCACTTCCAGCCTTCCACTTAAGTGCTCGCTCTTAATGCATGAGCCGAGGAACGTGCTTGCTTGTCTTCCTGGCAAGAGATGCTGGCTCAGCTTGCTGGACGCTTTCAGGTGCAGAGCCAAGAGGTAAATGCTTGCAGGATCAGTCCGTGATCACTGATTCGCTTAGACACTTGGTGACTTGCTTGTGGTGGTTTGCTGATGAGCATTGTCCTCATCCAAAGAGATCTTTGAGATCCCTTGTTATTCCTTGCATGATCTCTCTTCATTTCCAGCCGCCTGCTCATCCTTCTTTAGCAGTGGATTAAACAGTTGAATCTTCACCACTTCGTGAAAACAGCTGTATTTGGTCTGGTCGTTTCTGTAAACTTAAGCTTTGTGCTCCTTTCGCACTTGTGTTTTACTCTGGCTTGTTTGTTTCTTCTCTCCGTGTTCCTGACAAATTAAGCTATTGCAGGTTTTAGGTCATTTTTTTCAAGTTTTCATTGGTCGTGCAATTTTTATGTTTTGTTGTTATTTTTATGTTTAAAAATTTATATAGACTGAATTGCTCTCGTCTAATCAGATTTTGTCCTGGCTCCAGGTGGTCTTCCCAGATGTTACCAGCCTCTGAGAGATCAAATCTAGACTTTTTTTTTCCCCCAAGTTTTGCAAATATATGTTTGGCAATTTTAATCAGTGTCATTATGTAATAGATTTATCTCAAGCTTAACCTAGAGGCTCCCTTAAGCAACTGCCAAGAGCTGTRTCCTCAAGATTTTAAAGATATTCTTTAATCACTCCTGCAGCCAGAAATATTCTGACTACATTTATAAACATTTAATCCACACATTACTGGTTGTTGCTAGTGTTATTCCTTGCTATATTCTGTTTGTATCTGCGATTTTTAAAAATCTGTCCAGGCTTCTGTCCATCAGCCTCTTCAGGAGCTATTCCTGTTTTAATCCCTTTCTAAAAACTAGAGAACGGTATAAAATGATCTGCATTTTTAATATATAGATATTCTATATTTACTGGAGTGGATTTATGAGCTTTGCATAGCAAGGCCACAAAGCTCTAGTTTTGTTTTTATTCCCAGTTTATTTTAATCTCTGTCCTGTGCAGTACTGAGACATGCTAAAAATATCTTCATTAGGTTGCCATTGATCTACAGCAGGGCATTCAAACATGCTGTGTCCGAGCTCTGTGATAACTGCCCTTTAATTAAGTTAGTAAGTATATCAGAAAATTTAAATCAAGCTTTTCAGTTTTATTTCCATATGTTTCTTTTCTAGGAATCTCAATTAATTGTATTGATTTTGTGTGTGTGTGTTACTTTATATAGATTTGCCTAGTAATTTTAAACTGGCTTTGTTATCATCTTCATTTTTTTAATATTCCAGACTATACTTAATACATGTTTTGTGTATTTTTGCAGTACTGTCATTTAAAAATATTGTGAAGAATTTTCAAATCGGGTTGTTATGTAAAACTGCAGCTGATCTGCATAGCAGTGTCTTAATGGAATATTGGGTTTGAGGAGGAAACTGTTTGGGTGTCTCTCTGCTTGGCAGTTTAAGTGCAACCAGCTGCACTGGCTTCCCACRCACCTTCCTTGCTTATAGTCCTGTAAATTCCATACTCTACCCATGCTGCCTAGTCTATGGGTGGATAAAACGTAAAGCAAGTTAATGCTACRTACCATGTCAGGGGATTGCTGCTTAGTCTCAGACTTGAGAGAGAACTTTTTTAGGTGCCTCCTGCATCCCTCGTGTTGGGCTGCCCGAGCGGGCGCCCTGCGGGAGGCTGCAGGCAGCAGGTGACCGTGCTGGGCTGGCGGGCACCCGCGAGGTGAGCGACAGCCTCTGAGCTGCTCTCCCCCGGGACCAGTGCCCCTGCAGGATGCCCCTTGCAGCTGAGCTGTTACCCACGCTGGCTGGAGGGTGTGCGCGTGCCGCGCTGGCACCGCAGGGCAGCGGGTTTGTGTGCAGGAGCTGCTGCGCGTGCAGCTGGGCGGGAAGCCCCGTTCTCCGCACTGCGTTGGACAGGCTGTGAGCTCCCGCTGTGCATCCATGCTAGGACCTGCAGCGGGGCCACGCTGCAGCGCGGGGCGGGATGTGGGGCTGGAACATCTGTGGGGCTGCGAGCCCCAGCGCTCCCGRAGGCACCTGGTGGCCCTCCCTGGTGGCCACGAGGACACCTCAGAAGTGGCACGCTGAGTAGGGAACAGCTGACAGAGTTGTCGCCAGGTTTGTCCTAATGACACGCAAATACAGATTATACGTGCGCTGTAGCCCTGTTGGGCTATATCTTCTTCTGCAGTCCATACTCACAGTTTTAAATGAGCAAGCAACATTTAGTCCTAATGCTGACTTYCGGTTTTTCTTGTGATATCACTTCAAGTAAGGAAAGAATATAATTAAACAGCTACTATAGCTTGACATTATTTTTATACATGCTTTTTCTTAGAACATAGTGCCTCTGACACAGGTAAAAATGAATAGCAAAAGAGATTGTGTTTATTTTAAGTGGCCTGACAACTAGTGCATGTTCTATATTTACATGCAAATGAGCTGTGGGTATTAAAGAAAGGGAAATAAATCACTGGGTGTCTTTAGCTGTCATATTTTCTGCTCAGGAAAAAAGACAGACCTGCTGCAAATGGTGACCTGTGTTTGGTCAGTTAAAGTGCCTGTAGGTTTCCTTGTTGAAATAACTGTTAGGTGAGTACTCCTGAGCATGGCTGTGTTAATAGTATTCGCCAGCAGAGACCACTTTGCTGAGCAGACTACTAAAGATTGGGAATCAAAATTAGAGATGTTGAACTGTGATTCCCACCTTCTGCTTATATGAAAATGAAAGACTTTGAAGAGAACATACAAGACTAGATTTCAGTTTTTCAAAGATACCCGTTTTCCAACTGAGAGCCATATCCRTGTATTTATTTAATACATTGCTGAGGAATATTTAAGCAAATATTTTCAATAAAAACTTTCAGATAGTATCTTCTGAAAAAAAAAAGAAAGCCTGCACAAAGAACTGATAAGTATACCTGAGTATCTGCAAATTTTTCACGAACTGTTTGGTTTCAGTTTTGTCTGTGGTTTGTACAAACATCTTGGAAAATKAAGAGTTTGTAATATATACAGGATATAATAGGATTTGAACTAAAGTAGGGTATGGGTTGTAGAGAAAAGAGTCTCTGGAGTCATCTTACAAGTAAAACATTATTTCTTTGGTTTTATTGTGTGTGTGTGTGTGTGTGTAATTAAAACCATCTGTGTAGCTTGGTTTGGGCTGTGTTGTTTGGACAGTCCTAAATCAAATCTGGAATGGCCAAGACTCAGGAAGGCAGGTTTATACTAGAATCCTTCAGGTTAAACCCACTGATGTCCGGCTGCTTCTGCTTCTTARCATAAAAACTATTAACAAGAGGTAAGTTTGTTCTAGTTGTCCTTGTTTCACCAAGATCTATGTCTGCAAATAGGCTTGTGTTTACAGAAATCCAAGTGAAAATAACATGTGAACAGCATAAGCTTATTGCGGTCAAAATAGTACATTTCCATAACCGTGTGGTATTTAAAGGAGCAGCTTGTTTCCTTTGGTGCAGTTTAATGCAGGCTTTGCCTTTAGACTCTGTCCTCTCCAGGCCTCAGGGAGGAAGTGGAAGGCTGTAGCACTCAATAGCACCAGTCACGCAGTAGAAGAAAACAAGTGCCACTGTCTTGTTGCAGTTCTCGATAAATGGACGCTGACATGGACTACGAAAGGCCCAACGTGGAAACGATCAAGTGCGTGGTGGTGGGAGACAACGCCGTGGGCAAGACGCGGCTCATCTGTGCGAGAGCCTGTAACACAACCCTGACTCAGTACCAGCTGCTGGCAACTCACGTTCCAACCGTCTGGGCCATCGACCAGTACCGGGTCTGCCAAGAGGTGAGGGCTGCAGCTCTGCAATACGTGGAGCCCACGCTGGGAGGTTGTGCTGTTATTTACTGGCGAGCTCGTTCTTTGCCTGAATGCAGCAGTGACCTCAGAATATTGTGTATGAGGGCTCTCCTGCAGCCATTGCCTGGTGYGGAAGGAAGCCAGCATCTCCCCAGGTCGCTCACCCCAAAGTAACTGTTTACCAAAAGATAATAGAAGATGCATATGCTGCATGGGCAGCACTTAACACTACATACGACGGGCTCTTTTGGTGTAGTGTGCTTTACATCTTCTTACAGGAGAAATAGAAATGTGCTGGTTTGATGGAGGGAAGGACAATGTAATGTGTGTTCTGTTTTAGGTCCTTGAACGCTCACGAGATGTTGTGGATGAAGTGAGTGTTTCTCTCAGGCTTTGGGACACATTTGGGGACCACCACAAAGACAGACGTTTTGCTTATGGAAGGTAAATTGATTCAAACTACATCTTAAATAATGTCACTAGTAAAATTTTATAGCAGAAAAAATCACAAATCTTAATTTAGGAAAACAAGGACTTAAAAACAATCAAGGGTATTCATACTCCTGCCCAGTGCAAAGAGGATTATCCTACTACAAGGATTAAAAAGATATAAATRTTTAAAAAGCAGCACAGTTTTACTACGCTACATTTACTTGTACAGTGCACTAAGCTTTGTCAACAAATGTTGTCCCATATTTCAAAGAACATTTCCAAAAATCAGGTGGCGGTTTTACAAAACCGAGAATCAGCATTCCCTGCCTGCATAAGTAGTGGATGATATAATTGGCTATGTAATGCTGAACTAACAAGCAGCAGTGCTGGGAAACATCATGCTTATGTGATGGACTCTTTATTTTATTAAAACCTGCGATGCTGGATAGGTAGCTGGTCTCTTGAGAGCAGAGCTCCACCGCATTAGAGGTGAGGATCTTATGTGTTTTCTTAATTAAAATTATGGAAGAGARAGGGTTCTCTTCTACAGATATCAAGGGTGTGTTAGCGAATGGATTAACCTTGGAAATGGCAAAAAATAAAAATGAGGTCTAGATTTTTCCAGCACGTATAATGTAACTTCAGCATAGTTTCAAAAGGGAGCGAAGCCAATGACACGCTTTTTTTATAATGGTAATTAGATCTGGCCTTGCCTCAGTGCAGACAGCAGAGCAGCTAACAGAGATTTGAATACATTTACAATGAGAACAGGCTGCCTGTATTGGGTGAATATTGAGAGGAAGATGAATTTTAAAGGTGATTTCATAACTGACATTTGAACAAGGTCTCAGTCCTTTCACCTTCTTGAACTTCCTTTTTCCAATGTCCTGTTTTTCAGGGATGATCATGCTTCCATAGACAGATTTGTTTTTCCAGCTCAGAATGTCCTTTGTAGAGCCCTTGTTCCAGCTTTGAATTCCATGCTGCTAAAACATACTAGTTCTGTGTTTTCCTTTTCTCTGTGCCCCCCCCGACTTTATAGGATGTCCCTTGGGAGCTTTGCAAGGGTTCTGCTCGCTGAAGCCCCGGTCAGGTTTTCTCATGGTGAGGCTCTGCACGGCAGTTTGTGCAGCTCCTCTGCCGTGCTCGGCCCCGTGCTGGTGGGAGGGTTTGCYGGAGCTGTGAATTTACTTGAACTTTCAGGKACCCTGGGCTGTTGAGCGTTTCTGYGGTCGATCTAAAGGCTTTCAGCTGAGCGTTTAGGTACATGTGCACATGCTGTATGGCATCAGGCKCTAGAGTAGCAGCACCCCAGGCTGCACAATCTATACAATTCAGCAGTAAGTTCCATGTGTGAGGTAAGTTATTGGTTTTAAGGTAGCATTGACCTTAATATTCAGTCCTACTCAAATATGTGAATAGATAACTGTTTAATATTTAGCAGCATGCAGATCCTACTTAGATAAGTATGGATGCAAATTAACATTTCCTCTAACTATCCCTTTTTGATGTAGCCTCGTGATGCTCTGCAACAGATACTGTGTCACTGAGAAGATTACTAGAGATTAGGAGAGCAAAATCAGGCACGTTCTGTGCCCTGATGCAACATTTACTGACAGAATGGGAGAGGAGGAAAAGCAACATACTTCTGATCCTGCAAACAGCGGGGAGGGGACACATAGCTTGAGCGGCTGAGAGAACTGAACCCATAGAGAATCAGGTTTGCTAAACTCTAGTCCACATAAAAGGGCAGTTCTGGAAATCTAATATCTTGTTAGTGTTTCCTTGTTTGGTTCTGTTAAGTTTGTTAATGCAGAAAGTAACTGGAAACTGCTCTAATACGAGGAAACATCTATGAATAGCATTTCAGTTGTAAAATTTCCTATTTGTAATAACTGATTAAATACTTCATTTTTCGGAAAGATAGTAATGTTTCTTGAAAATAAACTGTTTAGCATTTTGTCAAATCTGGAAATTAAGAGATGTATGATATTGCAAGTGGTTTTATTGAACATGCACATGTATAGGAGCTGATTTCAGATCATCTCAGCACATTGAACTGCAGCCTCCCCATAGTTAAGTTGTATCTTGCAATACAGTGAAAATGTAGTTTATGCCAAACTACTCGAGGTGAAACCTACAGCTAGCCAGTGTTTTCTGATTGTCCGCATGGAAGATCATTCAATGAGATATTCCTTCAATTACCTTTGAGATTGTTTTATGCAAAGGAGCCTGCATGTGCTCCTTGTGCAGGGCGGGGGGGTTGTTTGAGTCGAGCACTCAGTCAAGACCTCTATTTGTCCTAAATGGGGCATGACAAGAAACAGTAGGTCATTAATGCACCCGCTGCTCTTCAGGAAAGATTGTTCCATACAGTTTTATTAAAATATTGCTTAAATAGGTTATGCTGTGGATGACAGGAAGAACAGTGAGCGGGGCTTGCTGCAAATATAAATACTTCTGAATTTGTTATTTTTCACAGATAGAAGTATGAAAAGAGTTGGACAGAAGGAATGGCTTGTTATATTTTTTGTGAGATTGGGAACATTGTGAGATTGGGAACATGGGAATTCTCTGGAGAATAATCAATGCTTTTACRGCCATCCTTTTAAGTGGGAGTGTAAATATTGAGGCTCAGATTGCATTTTACTGGGTATCGTTGAGTTCAATAATCACAGTCCTACAGGAGCCTTGGGAAACAGACCCTGACAGATGAAGGGAGAGGGAAGGGAGGAGGCTGGACGGACTTGTGGAAATATTTGCTTGCCGAGTTTTCTAACGTGACAGTATATTTTTCTTACTGTACTTGCTGTACTTCAGCTTTGGATGTATCGGATCCAGTTCAGCTTTGGYGCTATGTGGGGGTCAAATATTCATTTGTTGATATTGTCCCACAGGGTTTGATTTGGTGCAAAACTGCTCCCAAATGTTTGAAGATGACAATACCTGTGGTATGATTTGTGCATCAGTTTCCAGTTCCACATCACGTTTTCACCTAATAACAATCTAACCTCAGTGCTGTTGSATCCTCAAACTAATTCCAGAAGCAACATAGAAGAAAAGGATTGGCTTACATTTATTTTTTCCTTYTTTTTCCAACTTTTTWAAATTAGGTTAACATGTTTCACTAAAACTTGATTGAGTTATTTGATACATGCAGTTCTGSGGTATGAATGTGTGCATGTGAGCACAAATCTGCAAAGAGTTARTTCAGCCCCAGTCAAATATTTATTCTCAGTACTATGTGGTTTGTCGGCTAATTCAGCCAGGATGATTTATTTACTTGTAACTTTAAATAGGAGCTGTAGACCAAACAAAATCTGTTCATACGGCATGGACGAAAACCAGCTTTTTCCTTATGACTTAAAAATGCAAGTAAGCCTTGTTGTGAGACTGCTGGCAGAGCCTCTTGAAATATGTTTAGCTTGGCCTCTGTGAGTGACTTTGGTGATCCTTGTGGGCATCGTACCCACCCAGAGCAACGCGTGGGCTCCTCCTTTTCCATGATTACTGTTGCCTCGGGGCAGTTCCTGGAGCAGCATTAAGGCGCAGAGCGGCTCCTCCTGGCTGCTGCTCTGAGGACAGGGCTCCCCAGAACGCGTCTTGTTCTGCTCATGTTCTGTTTTCATGGCCCCCGTGACTTCAGGATTCATTCTCACCCCAGATACAAAGCTGGCCCCATCATTCCTCCTTCTCTTCTAGATCTTTCCTCTCTGTCTTGTTCCTGCCTTTGTTTTTCCATCCTTGCATCTATCTCCTACCTCTATATTGTTGCTTTGAGTGATGTTTTACATAAATCCATTATCTCCGTTAAACTCCRTATCTTTTTATGATGGAACATCAGTTCCTGGTGTTTTTTGAAGGGTGCAAGTGGGAGASAAGAAACGGGTTTATCTGTTCTGTTATTCTTTTCAACTCTCTGTGATTAAAGTTGGTTGGCTCTGTATAGAGAGATAACACACTATTATTCTCATCTGTACAATGGCAGGAAACAGACTTGAAAGGCTCATCTTCCCCTTTTTGTGATTTGTTCCCTATTTTGTACATTTTATTTTTCATTATTTTTCCTTTCTCTGGAGCTGGCAGTCAGCTGAGATATACATTACAAAAACATTCTTAGTTCAGTCTTTTTTTTCATAATATTGAGAGTTTTGATGCTTCCTTTGGGCTGATGAGACATATTCCATTTTTTCCTGTGTCTTCTCTTACCAGATATCATTTTGTTTACATTCTGGCCTTTGGTTTGGTGTCTAGGCTATGATTCCTACCTTTTTCCAAGCAGTAATTTTTGCATGTGATGAACAGAAGATTTCAGTGTCCACCAGCTTGAAGTAAATATCTCCAGAATTGTTTACCATGGAATTTTTGCTCTTACATACGGAATGAGGTAGTCAAGGACTCTGCTTGTATGGGGAAGAATGGATGTAAGAGCATGACACTGTGGATGTGAGTAGTGCAAACATGCCTAATTCCAAGGAGAGTTTAACTGGGTCCAGCSTGGACCAGAATTGTGCTGGAGTAACTCACAGGCACCTTATTACAGCTGCAAAGTTCCATTTAACACTAAAATGGTATTTTTCATATGTAAAAACTCAACCAGAGTTATTGAAGACTTTGTTTCCTATAAAATGAACCAAAATCCATGACTTTAGATAATTTATTTTTTCCRCCATGTTTTATTGCTTGCCAGTTTTCAGTTGTTGGCTAGGCGTTTGTACAATAAGAGCTCTTACAGGTTTCTGCACTGCAAGGTGAGGTGTCTTAACCCTTCTTTGTGATACCAAGACTTTTTTTTGTCATTCTCTGTAGTGCTCCCATGGGTACTGCAAAGGAAATTGAAAAGAATTTAAAATGCTTACATTTAAGAAAGATGTCCTATTTGTAAGGAGTATATGGGGAAACTCCACTTTGAAACATGGCCTTGAAATACATTGTTTTCTTAAAGGTACCATTATCTTTATTGCTGTTGTTTCCTACTAACAGTGAATTTGCAAAAATTTTGGAAACAGATC